CCTCCCCGGGGGGTGGGGACGCAGTGGGGACGGTCGGCCCATTCCCCCTTCTGGTCTGTCCTTTTGTCCTCTTTCCCCCAGGCGGCCGCGAGGTGCAGCCAGGACCGGCCCTGCGCCCCGGGGCTCTTCTGCGACAAGCATTTCCGGCTGTGCCTGCCCCGGCGCCAGGAAGGGCAGTACTGCCGCCGCGACGCCCACTGCGCCCGAGGCCTGAGCTGTATGTTTGGCCAGTGCCACAGAACCATGCCGGACGGGCAGGAGGGTAAGGCAGGGAGCGGGGCTGGGGGCCATGCTGAGGCTGAGCCCTGGGCCTGTGTGCACACACCCCCGGCGTCAGGCAGCCCAGCCTCCTGGCTGCTCTAATTTATACCTGGCAAGCAGAGACAGAGCGCAGTGATAGGGCAGGGAGCTCCGGCCACACCCACATCCCTCCCCATAGGGCGGGGCCAGGCACGGCCCCAGGGGCTGCTGCAGGGGAGTGGCCTTTCTGTGGGAGGCTGGTCCAGGTGGCACGTGGTCCCAAGACGGACGGGACTGGTTGGTCCTGGACCAGGGACGGAGGGATCGATGGCCCTTCCCGGCCTGCCCATCCCTCAGCGCCTTCCCCGTCTGCCCTCAGGTGCCCGCTGCCGGCAGGACAAGGACTGTGACGGGGCCAGCTGCTGTGCCCGCCACCATGGCGAGATGCTCTGCAGGAGAAGGCTGGCTCTGGACCAGAGCTGCTACGTGCCCCCGGGAGGCTTGGCCTTCAGCCTCAACCAGGTCTGCCCCTGCCAGGAGGGGCTGGTGTGCCGGACCGGGGCTGCTGGCGGCGCGTGAGTGCGCGGCTCACTGGGCCGCACTGTGAGCTCCCTGCCAGGTCTGGGGCAGGGCTCTGGGACAAGTGGGGCGATGAGGAGGGGCAGAATAGAGCAGGGGGGCAGGGCTGTTGGTTCATGCCTAGATTCATTGCCCCTGCCCTTCGCTGGAAGGGGACAGTGGGTTATAATGAGCAGAGTAGTGGGAGGGACCCACAACGCCCGGGTCCTATCCCAGACTCTGGGAGGAGAGTGTGGCCTACTGGTTAGTGAAGGGGGGGCAGAGAGAGAGAGGTCTAGTGGTTAGAATAAAGGCATTTTGCATGTTTTCTGGATGCTATTCCATGGACTCCTTGGGCGAGCCCTTACCTCCCTTTGTGCCTCAGTTTCCCCAACTTTAAAATGGAGCTAACCCCCCTCCCAGGACATGCTGTGCAATTCCAGTGTGGGGAGGGGGCGAGCAAGCCAGAAATGCCACCTGCTGACTCCTGGATCCCTCCCTTCTTGTCCCCTCCAGGAAAACGGTCGACTATTGGCAGGGTAAAAGTGACTGGCGCTGCATGAAGCCCTTGCTGTAGAGCGGAGGTGCCGGGGCGCCCTTCCCCGAGGACACGAGCGCCATATTGATTCCCTGTAAATAGCATGTACATAGACCTGTGCTCTGATAAACATGTCTGGTTCTTCCCCACTCAGGGGACTGGTGGTTTATTCCTGGCTCTGAGTCACAAGGTTAAACCGCTGCCCTCTCACCACGACCCGACGCTTCGGAGCACTGGCTGGCCCCTGCGGTGATGCCTTTGGTATTTGCACATTGCTCTGTGCGTGTGTGTGTGTGTGCGCGCGCGCATGGGGCTGTGCATTGCTCTGTGTGTGTGTGTGTGTGTGTGTGTGCGTGTGCGCGTGCATGGGGCTGTGCATTGCTCTGTGTGTGTGCGTGTATGTGCATGCATGGGGCTGTGCATTGCTCTGTGTGCGTGATTGTGTGATTATATGTGCACGCATAGTGCATTGCTCTGTGTGTGATTGTGTGTGCATGCATGGGGCTGTGCATTGCTCTGTATGTGTGTGTGTGTGTGTGTGTGTGTGATTGTGTGTACACACATGCGGCTCTGCAGGCCTGCCTGTGTATATGGGTGAGATACTAACTCGCCCATAGGCAATCACCAGCCTGCAGAATTCAACGGCACTCAACACGAAGGGCTGCTCGCGGCTCCGAGGGGCAGGGCGGCGAGGAAAAGTCGGGTGACCCAGCTCTCTTGAGCCGCAGGCAAATACACAGTCACGTCCCCCTGTTCGCTGGGTGTTTGGCCTCCAGCTTCCATGACCTGCTCCTATGGCCAGCTTGCCAGAAAGCCTCTCTCCTTGTTGCCTAGTGACCGGCGCCTTGTGAGCAGAGATGCTGAATGGGAAAGGCTCCCAATAAACGGCGGAGGCCTGGTAGCGCCGTTAATCAGGGGCAGGGTGGCCGGAAAGGGGCTCAGCGTTAGAACTACAGAGCCCTAGGCAGGGAAGGGACCTCGCAAGGCCATTGCGCCAGTCCCCTGCCCTCACGGCAGGACCCAGAACCAGAGACCATCCCTGCCAGGTGTCTGTCTCACCTGCTCTTAAATGTCTCCAGTGATGGAGACTCCACAACTGCCCTAGGCGACTTATTCCAGTGTTTAACCCCCTGACAGGATGTTTTTCCTAATGTCCAACCTAAACCTCCCCGGCTGCAGTGTAAGCCCCTTGCTTCTTGTGCTGCCCTCAGAGGTCTGAGTCTGCTTCTGCCTCACAAGGTGCCGCCGTTTGGAGCCTGCCCCTGCCTGGCGCTTGCTGCCCTAGAGCAAAACCAGGGGACTTTCGGGCCTTAGACACTCTTCCCCTAGACACACCATTGTGTCATCGAAACACAAAGGCTACATCTACATTGGCAAGATTTTGCACAAATACTTTTAACGCAAGAGTTTTTGTGTTAACGTATTTGCGCAAGAGAGCACCTACACTGGCATGGGCTTTTGCGCAAGAGCATCCGTGCCGGTGTAGACGCTCTCTTGCGCAAGAAAGCTCAGATGGCCATTTTAGCCATCGGGCTATCTTGCGCAAGAAATTCATGTTGCCTGTCTACACTGACCTCTTGCGCAAGAAGAGTTGCACAAGAGGGCTTAATCCTGAGCGGGAGGATCAGAGATCTTGCGCAAGAAGCCCTGATTTCTTACATTAGAACGTCAGTGTTCTTGCGCAAGAACTCGCGGCCAGTGTAGACAGGCGGCACGTTTTTGCGCGCGCAAAATCTTGCCAATGTAGACACAGCCAAAGGCCTGGGACCTCAAAAGGATCTGCCAGAACAAGAGGTCTTGTGGCACCTTCAAGACTGACATGTTCTGGGGCATCAGCTTCCGTGGGACACCTTGTTGGTGTTACAGGTACAGACTAAGACGGCTCTGAAAGGTATTTGGCACAGCAGATGCTGAGCCGAGGCGCCTCTTTAAATCCCAGACCTGAATTATGAAGGCAGCATGGCAAGTTAGCTACCTTTGAAGGACATCCCAGGTACCCCCCCCCCTTCCAGCAAGGGAGTATAGTTCTGTGGTAGTGCATCTGACTGTAGTGTAAGAGGTTGCAGGTTCACATCCAGGTACCCCCTAAATGGGGGCTACCCTTTCTCCCCTGACCCTTGGAAATTACAGCCTACGCCAGAGTGCAATGGCGTGCTGGGCCTCTGTGGTGTTACCACAATACAAACCACATCACATCCCTTGATGCCCAGCAATTTGTTGCCTTCACTGGAAGACACATCTGCCTTTTGGGTTGATTTATTTTTTCTTAACTTCAGCTCGGAGGCTTTTGCCCTGTCTCCCTTTCTCTGCCAGATTAATAACGTTACCAGCCTCAGTGCTCAAAATAATGCATCAATCAAGAGATTGTCTTTTTAAAAAGACAAAACTCATGAGGCATAGGCTCAATTTACCCCTTGGATTGGGGGGGGGGGGGTTTATGTCTACACTTCAGCGTTTTTCCGACAAAACTTGAGGAACGTTCACACTGCAATTGCGTTCTTCCGCAAGAAAATCGAAAGAACAGAAGGGTTTTTCTGGCATAGGGAATCCTCATTCTACGAGGAAGAAGCCTTTTTGCCAGAGCTCTTTCAGAAAAAGATGTGTGTGACGGGGAAGAGGGAGTTCTTTCAAAAGACGAGGAAAGAGGAAAAAGCGCAGGTGCCCTGGTGGCCACACCATCCATAGCAATCACAGCTGACATGCGAGAGAGTGTCCATTTGGTGTGGACACACACGCTTGAAAAAGAAGATCTCTTCCGAAAAAAGCTTCTTCTGAAAGAAGCCAACAGTCTAGACATAGCCTCAGCAATTAGGAAACACACAATTCTGCGGAGGTGGGGCAGCAGAAGCAGTGAGTGGTCTGTCTATAACACGTATTGCCTAGACCCGGGAAGTTGACGCAGCGCATGCGTGAACACTAAAAGGCCCTCAGGCACAGGAAAGTTCTGTGCAGCAATGAAGCTAAAATAGGCACCGTTGCATTTTTGAGAGGTCACAAAGAATCTAGTTCCGCTCTTCTGTCCACTTGCTCATTGCAAGCCCCACAGACCATCTTAATGTCCCACTCTGTGCCGCTGGAGGTTTGTGCTAAAGCAATCAGCAGTGAAACGTGTTGTGCTTTAAATAGCCATCAGTAGGGTCCAGAGTTAACATGATGTTGCGATTAATGCAGCCATTTGCACTTCTCTAAATTGTTGTCGCAGGCCACATGCTGACTCAAGGAGAAAAATGCCCCAGCAATTAAATTCAGGGGCTGCGTCCAGATTGGCATGATTTTCCGGAAATACTTTTAACGGAAAAGTTTTCCGTTAAAAGCATTTTCGGAACAGAGCGTCTAGATTGGCAAGCACTTTTTGCGGAAAAGCGTCCATGCCAATCTAGACGCGCTTTTCCGCAAAAAAGCCCCGATCGCCATCTTCGCGATCGGGACTTTTTAGCGGAAAACAAATCTGAGCTGTCTACACTGGCCCTTTTGCGCAAAAGTTTTGCGCAAAAGGGACTTTTGCCTGAACGGAAGCAGAATAGTATTTCCGCAAGAAGCATGGATTTCTTACAATAGGAAGGAAGTGCTTTTGAGGAAATTCAAGCGGCCAGTGTAGACAGGCGGCAAGTTTTTCCGGAAAAGCGGCTGATTTTCTGGAAAAACTGGCCAGTCTAGACACAGCCAGGGTGTTTCTCTTCACAGCCAGGAACACGTTACGTAAAAAAAATGAAGTCTGGGATTCTTAGACCACAGATCTGTGGCAAGAGAAGATTCCAGAGCAAGTGGCTATACAGAGCCCTGTGTGTGCGCAACAGCTACCACCAGCCCCAGGCACTGGGCACAACACCTCTCCCATGGCACCATTGTTTGTGTACGTGTCCCCCCCATTAGTGGCTGAGCTGTGTTAATTGACTAATTGCTTGAGTCAGCACCATTTCCCCAGCCTGGAGAGCAGCACACATTCCAGGCCTTCCTGAGGGAGGCTGAGTTGAATTCCAGGTCACACAGCATCACTACTTAATTGTAGGAAACGAGGAGCCAGGCCTCCTGGGTTCTGCTCTCAGGCCTCCCAGTGACATTGTACGGCCTTGGTAAAGTCACTTAGCCATGGCCCTCACTCGCCGAGCCCTGGCCTACCTTTCGCCCAAGCCAGGGAACCAGGAGAGCGGTGGGGGACGATCAGGCAACATTGTTTTTAAAGGAAGACCTGGAATCGAGTAGGCTCCTGCCTTCCTTTCGCCCCAAACTTCTCTCTGCGAGGTGGGGACGTTCGCCCCTCCTCAGTCCCAGATGCGGGAGGCTGGGCCCGACAACGCTTTGAAGTCTGCCCGGCGGGCGGCGCTGCCGCTGGTGTGGTGCCGGCCCCTAGGCCGCTCGGGATCAGCTGCTGCCACGGAGATTTGCTTCCTGTTTGTGCCGCTCGCTGCAGTGACGCCAGGCCAGCTGCGGACCGCAGTGAGCTCACAGGATTTCCGTACACTCAGACGCAACGGCTCCTCGCTCACGTGGGAGGGAAAATTACCCCGCAAGCGAGCGCTGCCCACGGCCCTTCTGACTCAGCTCTGCTGCTAGGCCGGCGGTCGGCTCTGCCGAGCACGCCGCCTCCGTGCCGAGTTTGCAAGCCTGGCGGGAGAACGCTCCCTGCCAACGCCGTGTAACGCCCGTAGGCGCCCGGCTCTAACCCAGCCTGCTCGCCCCTGCCCAGCGCAGCACTCCCCAGCTGTCCTGCGTCCCGAACCCACCTACCCTCAGCACCTCCCCCTCCTGGTTTCAGATTTCACACCTTTGGGGCAGGAGCTCGACCGCTGCTGGCCCCAGTCCGGTTAGATCCCACGGATGCTCCTTGCACCCACGGTCGGCCTCTCTGGGTTGCAGGGTGCTAGGCCCTGTACACACAGCGAGACCGACCCTGCCTCCCCCAAAAGTTCAGAGCCTTGAACACTGCGCAGAATCTGGGCCTTCTCGTCCCAACAGCCAGAGAGGCCGGAAGGGAAGCAGCACCATACCCACGTTAGAGGCAGGGAAACTGAGGCAGGGATGAAGCGATTTGCTGAAAGTACGGGGGAGCCTGGGACAGAGCTGGGAATTGAAGCCTAACAAAAGAGGGGGTTCAACAGGCCACAAGTCCAACAGGATCCGGCCATTCCCCACCCCCGCCCCAAGATCCAGTGGCCAGTTTGCAGGAGCCGGCCGGCCGTAAGCGCAGAGACAGCCCCTTTTGCTGCACTCAGCATGATGATCCGGGGCTAAAAACCAAACATGAAACTTTGCTTCCTTTAAGCTGAGCTGCTGCTTCCTTCCTCGCCCGTGGGCCCCTTCGCCACCGCTCGCCCGTGGTGTTTTCAATCCACTGCCAGGTGAAGCGAAAATCAAGAACCCCGTGGCCTCCTGCCCTTCCCCCGCCGACGTAGGAGGGGAGCATGGCCACGTGGAGGGACAAGCAAGCCCCTCTGCCCCCCGAGCACTGCCCAGCCGTTCTGTTCGCAGAGGGCAGGCCGCTAGAAAGGAGGGAGCACAGGCCAGTAGGGAGGGCAGCCAGATCTCGGAAGAGTGGGGTCCCCGTGGCCTGCCAGATCTCTCGTGTAACCTTCTCTGCTTCTGAGCTGCAAGAGTTTGGCTGCTGGGAGGTGGTGGAACCCTGCAACGCAGAAGGGGCCAGTCTGACCCTTTGTGGCAAGATGCTGGTTTTCCCATCTCCCCACCTGGAGACTGTCCGGCCCTCGGATGCTCTGCAGAAGGAGGACCGGATAAACGCACTAGACAGGAAAGGCTGCTATGGAAGATTGGGCAGGGATTCAACCCCTGGGAAACCCTCCCCTACGACTCGGAGCCTCAGTCTCTCACTCTGAGAAATGGGGCTAACGCGTCCTCCGTCCTGCCCGCGGAGCTCAGAAACTCTGCGCCCCACCTGGCTGGCCATGCAGCCCCCCCACACAGGGCTGTGCTCTCGGTCAAAACCTCGAGGTTTCCCCATGGTACCAATCAAGCCATCGACCGTCCAATCGCCTGCCTGGAAGAGGCCACGGGGCAAGTGGCGACGTTACCCAGCATCCTCCCCTGGAACCTTTCGCAGAAGGCCCAGCTAAACCAGCCCCCTAAGGCGGCAGGTTCTGCCCCATCCCTCCAAGCCGGGCAGAGGAAGATGGGGGGACTGGAAGGAAGAACCAGGAAGGGGCCAGGAATGTGCCCGGCAGAGCCCACATGCAACAGGCTGGATTTCCAGGCACTCCCCAGAGACACGTTCGGCTCGGACACATTGTGCAACGTGGCAGGTTTCAGAGAGATGTTTGGGGGGCTGCACCCTGGGAACCCCTTGTTCCACTGACCCCAAATTTGAAGCACTAACCGTCCCCTGCACCCCCATGAGGCACCTTAAATATTCTGGGAATCCAAGCCAGGAGTGAATTTTGGTGCCCTCCCAACTGGAGTCCTTTAAACAATACGCCTGTCAGCTACCTTCCCCCGTCAGAGCAGCCGTGCTGCAGGAACACCATGCAAACCTCATGGGTTTCCTTCCTTTCCAAAAGCCGCTAGGATTGAATGTGATCAGAACCCGCTGGGGCTCACGCTCTGGGCTGGAAGCAGGGACTATTAGCCATGTGCTTCCAGGGGGCTACAGACCCAGGTCGAGGTCGGGATGTCCCTGCACTGAGTGTGGCCCAGATGTCCAGTAAGACAAGCTCCTGCCCTAGAGCTCACTAAGGTAGGAGATAGTTTCCCGGGGGCTGGCCCTAGACTGAAATGACCCCCGTTCCCCAAGGAAATTTCTTTCCTTCAAGAGCAAGGTGCACAGCTGTGACCGGTCCGTCTATGACAAAGACAGAGCCACATGCCCAGGTCTGGTATTAGCACATTCCCAAAACCAAACACTCCGTCGTACTCACTTCTCCCTGGGGGACAGACGTTCATTGTATTGCGTCATGCACTACTGGAAGGGCCCCACCCCCCGCTCTCGCGATGAGCACAGCAAAGAGAGAGAACAAATGGACACCAAGGGATCACATTGGCGGAAGGACGGAAAGTTGCTTATGCCCATTTCACAGATGGGAAAACTGAGGTTCAGGTCCTGAAAGACATTGCAGGCCCTAGCTCCAAATGAAATCCAAGGGAGTTGGACGCCCCAATGCCTTGGAGGACCTGAGCCTAACTGATTTGCCCAAGATTCCCCCAAGCAGCTGGTGGCAGAGCCAGGAATTAAACCCAGATCTCCTGGATCCCAGCCCCGTACCGTATCCACTTAGGCTGGCAAAGCGACCAATAAAAGACAAGATCCCAACTGTGCAAAAAATTAAATAGTGGAGCCTTTAATCAGGTATAAAATACAAGACACAAGTTTTATTAAAAATACAGAACCGGAGAGTCAAATGGATCATCCCGGAAATCGTAAAAAATACCCCCATCTGAGCTCAAGGCAGGAAGCTAAGACACGCAGTCCTGCTCCTCTGGGCCCAGCAGGGGGTCTGTGCAAATGCAAATCCATGGGACAAGCTTAATGAGTTTAAAGCACTTAACGGACGGACGACAACTTGTTAAGGGGCTGATCCAGAGTCCATCGGATTCCTCGGGCACCTTTCCTGGGGGTGTGGGGGTCAGTTTGAGTGTCACCCCAGGATAGAGCACTGCACTGGAGAATAGCAGAGCCCCCGACTCCCCCCCATCCTTTGTGCTTATCCGGCATCCTTCATATCCAGGGATTCCAGGCCACATGACAAAGGCAGGCACTTGCCAATGGGGGAAACTGAGGCACGGAAGAGTTAAGTCATTCCCCATAAGTGTGCAAGAGCAGAATCCGGGGAGGAGGGGGGACAAGACATCTCCCCGACCATCGGCTCCAGAGTGTCAGCAGAAATGGAACCAAACACCCGAGTCCGGATCCAGAGTCTAGATTTGATCCTGATGCCAGGTCCCACCAGGCCCTGGTGGAAGAAACCAGACGGAAACCTGGTGAAGGGGGGAGTTTGCTCCCCTGGATGTGACCGGGGCAGCTTTTCCCCATCCTTGCGCATTCCCCCCACCCCTCCGAATCCCGGTGCTGGAGGAGGGGCCTGAACCCAGAACTGTGATATTGCACCAGGGCCATGGCAGAGGAGAGAAATGCTCCAAACCCGAGCAGGGGAGACGGCCCTTTCCTGTTTGTGTTAAAATCCTAAAATACAAGATGTCCAAGGTCCCGGTCAGACAGACCAAAGGGAAGCACCAAACGGGAGGAGCCAGCCAGCGGGCGCCGTCAGACACGCTGCACGGTGACCCGGGGACGCACGGAGAGCGAACTCAGGGGACCATCGGTGCCCTGAAACTTTTGGCTCCCCGCCCCAAGCACCACTTGAATTTGGAGACGGGCCCATGCAGCGCCAAGGGGTGCAGGTCACCCCGGTCCTCTCGCCACGTTTATCTCCAGCCCCCATCGGGAGACCGAAGGCCTCGAGTGCTGAGCGAGACTCCTCCTGGCGTAGCTTATTGGCAAATCGGCGGGAAGCGGCGCTGGGGCGGCTTGTGCGTAAAATCCTCAGGCCCAGCTCCAGTCTTCCGGCCTTTGCTTACGTGTGAGCCAGGAGCAGAGCGATTCCCCCGCTCCAGTCCCCCTCTGCAGACGTGATCAGGAAGAAAGACGGCGCAGAACCGATTCCCGGCAGAGACGTGATCTAGAACGGAGACCCCCGGGCAGAGGCGATCCGCCCAGATTCCCTCCAGACTTGCTATCCAGAAGGGATCCGCTCCCACGCTGATCCGGGCTCGAAAATACACGGTCCGGAGACAATCCCAGCTTCAGCAGGGAAGTCCAGGCTGAGACGCGCGCGTCTAAAGAAATAAGTACGATGCTTGCGAGCGCTGCACGGTGCCGTCATACCGCTGGCCAGATGTGTCAGTTGGCCGCCACGCGAGACTTCATCCACTCCAAGCCAGCTGGCAGGCTGCAGAGACGAGGCGAGAACGCACATTAATAACCCCACACTGCACGGATACACCTGCCAGAGGGTTTCCAAAAGAGCACAGCTCCACGCCACGCAATGGGGAAACTGAGGCAAGGATGGGATTGGCCTGCGCTGCTCAGCAAATCGGGGGCAAAGCTGGGAAGAGAACCCAGGAAGCCTGTTTCCCAGGACCCCTGCTCTAACCTCTCCCGTCCAGAGGCAGGAAGAGAAGCCAAGAATCCTGACGACCCCCCCCCCTTTAGCCTGCTCTAACCAATGGATACTACTCCCCTCTCAAAGCCAGAAGCAAAACCCCCCTCCCAGCTCTAACTGCTGCACTGCTCTGCTTTCCCAGCCCTGCCACTAGAACCCACAGACCCCAACTCAGACCCCCTTGCTCTAACCACTAGATCGCACTGCCCGTCAATAGTTCTAACCCCCCGGCGCGGCACAACACACAGCAGTCCCCCAAAGACTGTCCTTTGCATTGGCAAAGCCCTCCACAAACCAAACCGTGCCAGGCTGTGCCGATGAGACAGCTCCCCTTGGGGGAGCCCCGGTTCCCAGGCGCTGGGAAGTCCCGGATTATGCCAGAGTCACCGCTGAGTCAGCCTCCCGCTGCCGAAAGGCCTTGGGGAGCAGGAGAAAGGCAGGGCCCCTTCCCAGGCCGAGACCAGGGGCCAGAGACTAGGTGGATCAAGTTTCATCTGAGCAGTGAGTCATCACCGGCGTCTGGCCGCCAGGTAGCAACCCGCCAACCTGGTGCGTGGGTCAGGCAGGCATCCCTCCCCCCCGTGAGCTCAACCATCTGGCATCTCTTCCCAGGCGGGTCACATGAAGCCAGCCAGCAGGTGCTGGCAGCATGAGTCACCTGAGAAGACGCTTTGGGCCTTTTCATCGAGGTGTTTGGGGGAAAAAAAAAAAAGGAAGTGACGGGCTCTGAAGAGAGGTTCTCGCTGCACCGATGGGGAAACTGAGTCAGGCGCAAAGGGCCTCACAGAATGGAGCGCGTGCCCAGGATTCCCTCCGCGCCAAGGTCAACAGCCTTTTCTCTCCCAGATAGGGAAAGGGAACCCAGGAGTCCTGACTTCCGCTCCTCTACGCTAACCACTAGACCCTACTCCCCTCGCAACAACAGATCCCTGGAGTCCCAGCTCAGCCCCCTGCTCTAACCACTGCACCCAGCACCTTAAAGGTGCCTGGAACATTTAGAGGCAAGTTGTTGCAGGCCAGCTTGGAATGTGCATCTGTCTGGGCCAGGCACGGAGGGAACCTGCCTGGATCCGCGCCCGTCAGTCGCAGGAATCCCCTGACTTCCTATTGGCTTTTTTCCCGCAGAGCCAGGGCTGGGAGGCCAGGATGCTGAGTTTCCGCTTGGACCTCGCTGCGAAGCCCGACCCAGAACGGAACCAGACCCAAGCACCCCGACCGGCTCCCAAGAGTCGAGTCAGAGTCGAACCTGACCCGATCCCAACTCAGGATGGGAAGGCTTAACCTTAACGGGTGAGGCGGGCCAGTTAAGGTGAACCAGTGGGAGCTACTCCAGCCCAGTGGCAGGCAGGCAAGGGGCCATTCTAGCTGGGCTAGAGCTTCTTCCCCCTCCCCCCACGTTAATCAGTTAGCCAGGATTTTACATCCCTAATGCCTGTTAATCAGCTGCCAGGAGCCCCGAACACCCATGCCAAGCAAGGTTAGAAGGGAGCCCCCAGGAACTGCCGTGCTGGGGCAAACCAGCATCCACCTAGTTCAGCCTCCCATCTCCTCACTGCAGTCAGAACTTGGAGCTACAAGAAATCCCCTAGTGAACAATTAGGGAAACACTTAGCAGGTAATTTTCCTTCTAGCCTGGCCAGTAGCCCGCGGCCTGGCATGGGGAGAGGGGTGTTTCTAGCCCTTAGATAGGTCAATCCCGCATAACATGGCAGCCGACATGTTGATTATCTGCGTGGCTCCGCCTAGAACTGGTGCAGGGGGTTTTTCCCCCCGGAAAATGTTCATTTTCAGCAGCAATGCCAATAGCAAAATACTTCCGCTTGGAAATGCTGTCCAGGTGCCTCTTGGGAATTGTAGTTCAGAAGCCTCATGCACCCATTCATTGCTTTAGGCCAGGTTGCAGGTCAGACTACCCCTCCCATGATGCAACACAGGTTCCCCCCTTTCGCATCATGAAGAGACCGTGGCCATGGTGCATCATGGAAGATGTAGTCTGGCTGGGAACCTTCCCCATAGAGGAGACACAGGTCAGGGGGCAACTGAACAACAACTCCCATGAGACACCGGGGCAGCATTTCCAAGTCGAAATGTTTTGGCCATCAGGCATAAAGCCGGCACTTTCCACAAAAAGTATCCTTCCTCCAAAAGCATTCAGCCAGCCAGACCCCACCCCTCTGCTGAATGAAGCGGAGCGCTGCAGCCCGCCTATCTTGTGGGGGAGAGTTCCGCAGGACACGCGAGCAGCAAAAGGGACAGCCCAGTTTACGCGGTGGTGCACTCACCCCTCTCCCGTGAGGGCACAGCAGCCCTGGATGTGCCACGGATGGTCCTTGATGGAGCTGAGGGTTAGGAACTTGGAGATCTCTGAGGTAGTCATGGAGTTCTTCACATCCTGCTTGTTGGCAAATATCAAGACCGCCGCATTCTGCAGGTCCTGGGGGGAGAGATGCTGCCATTAACCTTCACCCCCTCCATTCTGCTCCCCACCCCCCATGCACATCCTCCCACCCCCATGGTGCTGCTAAGGGACAGGAAGCAGCATGCACACCCGCAGCATGGCCAGGGACCCAGTGGGTTGCGCACTGGGCTGGGAACCAGGTGATCTAGGTTCTGTTCCCAGATGTGCTATGTGACATGGGCGAGCCACTTTCTCTGTTTCCCCTTTGGCTGTTTAGATTGTGAATCCAGCATGGGGACCTGTCTCGATGGGACCCTGTTCTCAGCGGGGGCCTCTCGGTGCGGCGGTGAGAAGCCAGAACGCTCCTTACGCCCCATTCCGAACAGCGGGCCCTAGTCGGGACTGGAATGAGGCACGACCGGTTTGTTTTGCATGATGCCAAGCAGCCGCCTTGTCAACCGAAGGAAGGCGAGGGGCCGTGTTACGGCCCAGCAGTCCCTCCGCGGGCAATATGGAGATGCAGAGCGGCTAACTGCAGCACGAACCCAGGGGTTTCTGCAGAGCATGGGGTGTTATGCAGGACACGGCTCCTCCAGGGTGCAAGGGACGGCCGGGGCTCTGGGTCTGAAATAGCTGGATATCCTGCCGCTACCTATCCAGCCCTTTAACAACTGAGCACAGACATCAGCAACATCGCTCAGGGATCCGCCTCACAGTGACCGGGCTGAAGCAGCTTGGGCATGGCCATCGGGCAGTGGCCGCAAAGGGCGATGCCGGTGCTCGCTCACCTCATGCGCCAGCATCTTGTACAGCTCCTCCTTCGTCACCGTCAGCCGCTCGCGGTCCGTGCTGTCAATCACCAGGATGACAAACTGGAGGGATGGAAAGAGGTGGATCAAACATGCTGGAGCAGCACAAACCTCTGAGAGCTGCTGGTGGGGCAGGAGCCAGCTCCGGCCCCTCAGCACGGCATGATACCGATCGCTTCTGCCACCGATGCTCTGAGTGACCTTGGTCAAGTCACAGTCCCTCCAGGTCTTAATTTTCCCCATCTGTGCAGAATTCTCCCCAGACTGACCTGTCCATATTGTACAGCTCAGCGGGGCAAAGGCTGTCTCACCATGTACATGTACAGCACCTAGCATAGCAATCTCTCTGGCCCCTGCTGGAATACAAATAAGCCAGCGTTTGCTCTGGGCCTGCGGAAAGTTAACGGCAACCTTGCAGGCCTCCTACTCAGGCCAGGCCTGTTCTGAGCCGTGAAGGAGAACCCGCAGGGCAGTGGGAGAGAAATCCCAGCTCGAGTTATGCCAGGAATGCTGGCCAGGCAGGAAGGACGCGTCTGAACGCGGATCCCTGCCTCCGTGCCAAACCAGCGGGGGATCTTTCCCAGGGCGCTGCAGGAAAGTATTTTAATTCCATTCACACCAGCTGGGACAAAACGGGGGGGGGGGGGGGGCACCACTGTGGAGA